CAGTATATATTGCTATTGTATTAAATAGGTTAAATAATGAGCAATATGTGGAATTGAAGGATCTATTTATCCATCTGTCTAGTCTCTCACACTGTATCTCACCATGTTAAACTTCTTCCCGGAATAACAAACTGAAGGTGACCGAGGCACAGCAACACAAATGACTGTTGCACAGAGAAGATTGGACTCTGATGTATTCAAATAAAATGCTTGAACATTTTGACCTTTCCTGAATAACCCACAGAAGTGTAATAGATAGAGAAAACGTATCTCATAATACCCTGCGTGTAACCGTGACTTAAATGTCAGCATGGCACACATGTCAGCGAAGTCTCCTGACTTCTATTGACCACAAATGACCCCTTTTTCTGATTGTATAGGCCCTGAAACATACAGGGATGTTTCCTAAGACATGAAGATCTGTAACAAAGAAGACAAATGTAAAATGTCAACAGTGGAGCAGTGCTGAGGTGAACAGTGTGTTTCAAAAAATAATTTGTTGTCTGTACCACTGCTTTCTTCCTCACCCTCCTACCTACAGTAAATCTGGTTAAACAACTCTAATGCTGCTTTAGCTGTAGTGTAAAACCACTTAAACTATTTTTAGCAAAAAAAAAAGTACTGCTATTTTTGTGTTTCTTCAATTACAGCTCAGTTAGCTCAAAATCAAGTCTAACAGTTGGCCAAAGCTGTTTGCCAGATCTTTGTTTTGGCAAGATTAGTGTGTGCATTGATGACTGGCTTATGGTAATGAGGTTTAGCAGGAGGGCTGGGATCAAAACATGTGAAAACATTAAATTGTACTCTGCCTGTGAGCAACACTGGATCATTTTCATGYATCTTCATCACTGTCTCAGTTTCCACCACATGCAAAATACATGCAAACCACACGCTGTCTGCAAGTTAAGGAATGTCTCGTTGTTAATCACAAAGTGAAATTATGGCCTTCTTTATGGGTCATTTAGTGAGTTAAATGGATCTGCTTCACAATACTGGATACATGTGCCAACCCCTGCTGTGAAAATCACTTGATTGATTATAGAAGTGTCTCTACATTTACCTCTGATTACTTCCTGCCAAGGAGCAGGCAAGAGTAAATTTAACATATTCAATCCAACAAAATATATATATGTAAATTACTTATTTTCTTTAATGCTTCGTTAAATAACGATATATCTATCTTGTGTAATCTTTACACACTTTATCTAATTATTTAGTGCATGACCATGCTGATAATTGACTCCAGCTGGCATAAAAGCTTGCCAAAGATGTGACACACCAATAATTTGCACCACCCCAGTGTAAAACCCACTTAAATTGATATCAAAATTATGTGTCTCTGCCACTTCCACTATTATGTTATGTTTGAAAAAATAATAATAGTGATGCAAAAAAATCATTTGAATGATTATTCGAACAATAAATTTAAATTACACAAACTCAAACATTAATACTGATTAAATCAGCTTCATTTGTTGTGATGATGATATCATCTTCCAAGTGTTACTGAATAATTTATTCCTTTCAGTGAGTTTGGATCTTCTTCACTGATTGTGAATATTGCTCAAGAGACACAGAACTGAAAAAAGTCAATAAGGAAGTAACAAGTATTGTGTTAAAATGTCCCAAATGTTCCATATTTCTAAAGGTCAATATCTCCAAAGTAGGAGGAGAACACAACACATTGGTAGTAAATCTTACAATAATAAAAATTGAATAATAAAATTAAATGTGATGTTTTTCAATTGCTAAATTAGTGGCTTAGTAAATGCCATCCATCCATCCATCCATCCATCCATCCATCCATCCATCCATCCATCCATCCACCATTTCAGTTAAATTGACTTTTCTTCTCTCATCTCCAACAGAATAAAAATAGGTTAAACTTGATTTTCTCAGCTTCTGACAAATCACTGTTTGAATTCTATATTAATTTTGTTCTCTTTTAATTTAAATAAATGTGAGACCGAAACTCTTCTACTCAGTACGTAACAGTAGAGGCTGCTCTCCTGGCTTGAGGGAAATGCAATGTGATTCATAGTGGCTGACCCATTGTGAACTGCTGCCATTCAAACTAACTTGGGTCACTATGACCCACAAGGTCTCAGTTTTAATATTGATTCATCATGAGTCTTTTTTTTTTTTTGCTTTGACATTTCTTTAAACTGAATGTGAAACTTGATRGTGTTTTAGTTCTGCAGGAACCTTATTACATGTTTTGTTACATTTCTAATACCAAGCATCAGAACTCCCAGCCTCACGATTTTGAGTCTTTTCCCTATCTGCCCATTGATTTTTATTTATCTTTATTTTTTTATTCATGTGTGTATTGTTGTGTTTAAATAAATAACACATATAAAGGATTTTAGAAAAAATGAGAGAAATAAAGGGACAAACTTTACTTTAGATCCTCCGACACGAGCTCCACATATGTTTAATAGGTTTACAGAAACCTGCTCTGAGGCAGGTCTTACTCAGTTTGACTGCAGTAAATTGATGTCATTATGTCATTGTTTGATACTTCATTTGAGGCACTTCATTTTGTTACCAAAATAGAACTGGATCAGAACAGGTTTCCAAGTAATTTGACATCTGGTGAAAATTTCTTTCTTTCTTTCTTTCTTTCTTTCTTTCTTTCTTTCTTTCTTTCTTTCTTTCTTTCTT